ATAATATTATATTGTAGCTCTTGAACGATTAATCTTGTCCCATTACACAATCTAGATGTTTGGTCAATGTTCCTCAATAGCCTAATCGGTACCCCTTTTTTCAAGACTATTTTGTGGTTTGGGATTCCCAAACATTTGATTTCGTTCAAAAACTCAACTGTTTTCCAATCTTCATCAACACCTGCATCTGTTTGGTACGAAGAATCAAAACTCAAATACTCCTTTTCATCACCAGGAATGAGGGACAAAAAAAATTCATTTATCATTTCAACTATTTCGAGAGTTGGTGCCAATAGTGCTCTATCCTCAAAAAAGAACAATTTTCCATATTCGCTAATATATTTGGATAAGTGAAATCCATTATACTCTTCATAGGAGAACTTGTATCAAGAATTAAGAATTCAGGCGAAATCTCAACATCACCAGCTTTATCCATCACCTGACCTAGCTTTCCATCACCCATTTTGATTATCCAATGAGAAAAAGCTTGTGTGTCCCTATATGTGCAAGAAGACGTGGATGAATGTAGTCTCTTATTCCTGGTCAACGTATAAACTTTACAGTACGACCACAAATGCAAGGAATTGATCGTAGCACCTATAATTTCCTCTCTCGAAGCTCTGGGTAAAACTAGAAGGATATTCCGAAAGTCACCTCCGAGTATAACTGCTTTCCCTCCAAATGGTTCATTTTTGTAGTTACCATTAGAGAACCCCATGATATCTCTCATTGTGCGATCGAAAGCCTCAAAAGCAAATCTATTCATCATGCATGCTTAATCCAATATGATCAGACTTGCTTGCTGGATCAATTCAGCTTTCGGGCTACCTTGAAAAATATTATTTATATTTTTAAAATAGTATTTATATGTAGCATGGTCCTAAAATTCTATTTAAATTAAATGAAAAATATTATATATATTTTTAAAATAGTATTTATATTTTTTCATGTTTATTTTTAATTATTTTATATTATCATCATAATAGGAGTTCGTATTGTTGTAATCAGAAAACATATATTTATATATATCACTTTTTTGGGTTATAAGTATACATTATCGGCAGATCTTCAGCCAGCGAACATCGAAGGAAATAATTTTTTTGAAGCCAACGATTCCTTTTTTGAAGACCAGCAAGTATCGCAGAAACTTCTGCGTTCAAGTGGAATAACTGATTAAAGGATAGGGAACTCCGCTGGTGCAGTCCGTAGCAATTTTTCTTTTAATTTTACTATTATTATGAGGCTCGCTGACGTGTTCAATTTTTGCCAAATAAGCATGCCAAATGTCGCATTCCCATGAATCTGAGTCTCCTTTATTATATTAAAGGATATAGAATTCTAATCTAGGGATTAAGAAGTACTTGTTATTTTACATCAATATTTAAATAAATAGAATAAAACTAACTTTCCTTAGTCATAACATAAAGAAATATGAAATTTTTTTAGAGATGAAGAGGATAGTTTATGTATTCATTGAAAGTATTATTATAAATGAAAAAAATTAAAACAATATTCTAATGAAAAATAAATATCTCTCTTTCTTAATTAAATGTAGTCAATGATAATAAAATCATAAATAATGTTAGTGTAATATAATAAGTCCCAACAATATATTTTGTTTTAATCATTTGTATTTTATAATATAATAAAAATAGGCTTAAATATGTTTTTATACCCTATAAAATAAGAAATTTTTGTTTTTAGTCCCTATAAAATATTTTTTGATAAACTCATCCCTACAAAATATTTCAATTTAAAAATAATCCTTAATGTAATTAGCACTTCTAATTAGATGAGATAGTACATTTATTTCATACTCAACATATTAGTCATGTATTTGTAATTACATCTGATGCAAATTCTAATCCCTAAATTGTGTAGTTATTCATATTATATTTATCTGGCTCTCAAATTTCTTACGAATATTATATAATCGAAATTTGAGAATTGGAAATGCAATTTGATAAAAGACACAATTATTGGCATCAAAATTGTGTCTGAAGTAATTGCAAATCTAAAACTAAGCTATTGAGTACAAAATAAATATGTTATTTCAACAACTTAAAAGTATTTGTTACGTATAAAGATCATTATCAAAATAAATAGTAATAAAATAAAATATCATAATAAATAGTAATAAAATAAAATATTTGTAAATTAAATCATAAATCATTTAAGAACTATTAGCCATAATTTTTTAGTAATTATATCAAACCATGAAATTAATATAATCAAATTACCAAATAATATCTAATATATTTTACCTGCTTTAACAATTTATTGTCTGATCTTCTCATGTTTTATAAAGTTTCATTGTAGTTTTAGAATAAGTTTTGTCTTTATTAACTTACATGAATATTTTAATAAATATAATCAAACTGAGTGCTTTGATTTAAATATATCATAAAAAATATGAAATTTATGTAGAAGTGAACAAATATCTTATTAATTACTTAGGGCTAATTTGGTGAATTTTGGAGATATTATAAGATGTGGGTTATGAAAACTCAGAGAAATGATATGGATTTTGTAATCTGAAATGATTTTATGTGGAGAGATTTAAATTCAAGATTTAATTAGTGATAAGCAGGGGTGAATGGCAACGGGAATGGTTGGCAGTGACAATGGTAGCGAGTGACGAAAAATGATCAACAGTTGAGAAAAATATCAAACCCCCCATATTGATATCTCCCAAATTCGGGAGATATTGAGACCATCCATTTTAAAGATTTATGATATCTAGAGATATTAAATTTGATAAATCTTTTGGCTTCAACAAACACCTGAAAAGGATTAGGATATATATCTAGAGATATCAAAACTCATATTTTTTTTGCTCACCAAACGCACCTTTAGAAGTTTTGTAAAAATTGAATAGAAAAATATGCATAATTAGGAAATAATTTATTATAAAAACGAATATCTCTATTCTCTTCCATAATTAATTGTACCGAATGACTTCATACCATAGTATTAACTTCTTACTTTCTATGATATATTTTACATGTCAGAAATGTCTCGTAAACAACATCACATCTCAGCTTCTTAGAGATTAAAATATTAATTTTATTAATAAAGGATCAATTATAAACATATTTGATCCTTCCTATAAGAATACTTTTAAACGAAAATATATCATTATCAATTTTTGTGTGTGTATGCACTTACTTAAAAATTTGCCACACAAGCAACCAATAAAGGCTAGCCATCTTACCTTAATATAGCCCACATAAGCTTGACACTTGGTGGCTTTCTAGAAAACGGGGTCTCAAATATTATAATAAAGGATTATATTTTTTATAACTAAAAAGGAACTTTTAATTATACAATCCTTTTTTAATTATGAAATATTATAAAAGGTTAAATGAAATTGTAACAAAAAGCATCATAGCTTGGTTGGTTAGGAACTCAACTAAATGACTAAGAGATCTTCGGTGCCACATGTCGCGCTTTAGCCCTGCCAAATGTCACGTTCTTATAGCTCGGAGTCTCCTTTATATATATAAAGGATTAATTCTTAGTATTTGATGGTGTAAATTACCTAACCGGGTAAACTATTCTAGACCGGGTCTAGGATTGTTTACTTGATTCGGGAAGTAAAAAGGTAAAAACACACAAACATGACCGGGAGGACTTTAGGTGGAAACACCTGTAGCCCAATTAATATTGTAACAGAGAATGCACGGGCGCTTTTACAGGGAAGATTAGGGAGAATGAATTCGGATCTCCCTTTCTGAGGATTACAGTAGTATTTATACTAAGTTAAGGGGGTCAGAGTATCATGCAGCCACGTTGAAACACGTTCTCGGTTGGTGGGAGGTGATGTGCTTCGTCCTTTAGTTGCCTTGTCGCCTTGTGAGGAAGATTACCTCCTTTGTCAGGTAGCGCCTTGGATGGAATGCCAGAACATCTCCAGCGATCCTCTACTGATATGGGTCGCTACGGTCCAAACCCCTTTAGATTCTTCTTTGCCGATACTTTCTGATCCTAGAAATCACACCGGGTAGTTTCCTAGGGATAAGTTTATCGCATTTAAGGAATGAATGAGGCGATGAAGTAGTTTGATCGGTATACTTATCCGAAGTGTACCGGTCATTGTTTAGTCCATCGAGCATCCTTTAGCTGAAGATTAAAGTCTCCCTTTCAAGTATAACCTCCTCGACCGGTCAACTATTTAGTCCTCTCTTTTGACCGGTCCTGGGTGGAATACACCCATCAATATTGAACCATGGCATTTGCAGAACACTTAATGCCGTGTTAATGGTGATTAATTAGTCATTAACACATCCGTTACGCTACGCTCTTTTAAAATTTGTCTCAAATAATTGGAGATTAATGGCCAGTTAACTCCGTAAAAATGGACTAATTTTAAACAATACGTAAAAATAATAATATAAGATTGGTTCTGGAAAATTGCATAAATTGCAATCTGATAGACCAAAACCCCCCGGGTGTGTATTTTTTGGTCTATACGATATATGTATAAAATATAGAAAATATATGAACACGAATATAGACAATAGACTTTTACGTGGAAACCAAATCGGTGAAAACCACGAGCCTTTTTTGGCGGTACCATGCCAATGGGGATGTTTTATTATATATCGGGGGCATATTTGTACAGCATATTGGCGTGATAGCCATTGATGGAGCTCGAAGCTCCATCGAGAAGAAGATGATGAACGGAGAGAATACAATATATGCGGAATGTAGAGGGTGGCTCTCCCCTTCTTCTTGGTTATGTGTCTCTTATATAGCATCAAGGTAGGAGCCTAGGGTTAGGGTTCCCTAGCGGGCTCCTTGCGTGGACCCGCCCAATATCTTTAATTAGGCCCAAGGGATATTATCCCATCACAAGCCCCCCAGTTTCTTAGTGAACAGGAAGTGTTGACTGAGAAACTATAATTTGTTGTCGTATGTGAATTTCTTTAATCGACACTTTCTTGTACCCGAATCACTTAAAGCTTCTAGTGGCGTAGGCACAAATCCTGACTCCTTAAGCTTCTCTTCTTTTAGTACCTAAAAAAGTTAGAAACATACTTGCCTCGTCGAGCGACTACGAAGTCCATGAGATGGCTTCGTTGTGTTTCGAGGAGAGGACTTTTAAGAACCTCAAAGAATGAGGGATTTGATCGCCTCGCGAGGTGGTTTAAGGGCCGACCTTAGGGGAGGACTTTATTTGAAGCCTCGCGAGGTGGTTTTTGGACCGACCTTGGGAGAGGGCTTTTGGGCCTCGTAGGACGAGGATTTAATTGGAGCCTCGCGTGGTGGTTTAGGGCCGACCTCGGNGAGTGTTTGATTGAGTGCCACTTTTGTGGGCTTAAATAGGCTTTGCCTATTGTTTTGTTTGTTGCATCGATGACTTGGGAGAACGCACCCACTCATCCCGGGGTGTGAACTCTTAGGACTTAGCCAATTGTAGCATTTCCCTCGTGATTTTCACGTAGTTTGCTTTTGGCGTCGTCCAAAATTTTTGAGTTCTTTATGACGTGATCCCTCGAATTTGGAGATTGCACGTCAAACTCTAATAGACTGAAGATTTTATGACGCAAAGTGTGGTGCGAGCCTCACTTTGGTCGTCTTCAGTTTTTTTGTTTTTGGTTTGTTTTGTTCCGCGAGCAGGTGGCTCAAACAAGTTTATCACCTGTGAGCACACCGCTCCCCAGATTTCTCTTACTCCGTGAGTAATTTAATCAACGGACAACCAGACATTTTGTAGATCTCATTTGAAATCTGATTTGGGCCTGTGGAGTGTGACCGGATCCGTGGAGCATAGATACCCGGGCCAGGCAATAACTATCTTGCTTGCTTTGAATAGTTTTACCCGCAGCCTCAAAGGTTTGGAACTAGACAAGAGACGGCGAAAAAGACTTCGAGGAGCAGCGGTCGGCGAAGACGAGGTGCGGCCATCCGTGGTAGCAACCTCCGATCTACGCAGCTGCGACTTCATCGACTTGTGGAAGCCGGATCTATGATGGAACTGCGGCGGTCAGCGGCAAAGCAACCCACGGCAGTTCCCGACGAAGCTCTCGGCGTTGTAGAGTGGCTGACCTCCTTCCTTCCATCATCGACCTCATTCCTCCCGTCTAAATCAAGATGATTGTGGCCCTTCGGATCTGTGGCCTTCCCCAATTGCCAAAGAGACGGGGACGATGCGTGAATCGATCAATTTGAAGGCTGGATGGTGGCTGCAGATTGGGCGACCAGTGGGGATCTTCCGTCACCTGTGAGGTCATTGGGAGTTTAATGACTTGTGGTGATGGCTGTGGTGAGCGGCGACCAGCGTGATGGGTCCGCGACCCACGCAGTCGGCGATGGGGCGACCTGCAGATGGTCAGCAACGAGGTGACCCACTGCGGTCAGCGACAAGGCGACCCGCAGCGGTCAGCGACGAAGCGACCAGCGGCGGTCGGCGATAAGGCGACCGGCGGCGGTCGATGGTCAGCAACGAGGTGACCCACGGCGGTCAGCGACAAGGCGACCCGCAGCTATCAGCTACGAGGCGACCAACGGTGATGAGCGACCAGCGGCGGTCAGCGAGGAGCGACCAGCGGCTCTCCTGGTGACCTCGCAGTTTTGAGAGGACCCACTCGCACCTCCATTGTGGTTCTAAAATCCTACAGTGAGGGTTGTAATCGGACAGCAATTGGAGACTTGAGGCGAGCAGCGGCCATCAGCACGACGATGGTTACTCTAACGGCTGGTGACTTCGATGTAATCTCCAACTCCGAATCTTAACTCCAGCTACAGACGATAAAGATATGGCCGCGGAGCACAATTCTTTCATGTAATTGCAGGAGTTATTAGGCTTTATGTGATTCCAATGATAATGATCAAGAACGAGCAGGAGATCTGGACAAGAGTAGACACTGTAAACGTCGGGTGGCGCCATCCCAAGAACCCCCGAGTGTGTCTATTATTGCAGCGACCATTCCCAATTGTCCGTATTCGTGTATGGTGAGGTCTTGGGACTGCCATGGTCAGGCTAGAGCTTCCACTCCCGATGGCGGGATTCATGTCCGGTGACCAGTAGGGGGAACTGGAGCAGCAGCCCGTTCGCACCTCATTGGTCTCCAGTCGCGAGAACCGGCCTAGGATGTGGAGGCCCAACAACCTCACCAAGAGAGCGGCCTAGCCGATTTCACTCGCCCTTGTCCTAACAGCGGCAAAGTTGTTGCATAGCAATGGCGGGGAGCTCTGCGAGATTTGGTCATTAATGGCGGCGATCCGAGGTCTTGCGACCCAGGCACTCGCTCAATGATCAGCAACGGACTCTGTAAGCTGACCCGCGGCGGTCAGCGGAAACGCGACCCACGGCGGTCAGTGACGAGGTGACCCGCGACGGGGCGATCCGTGGTTGTCCGTCTGGTAAGGCAACCCGCGCACAAATGCCCATGTTGGAAGGAAGTTCAGTCTCGCGATTCACAATCCGCGTAAGATTTGCAACGGACAGAGACGGAGGCCCAGGTTCTGCGCAATTAGCACCGGAGCACGGATCTAGACAGAGACGGGGTGGAGCAAAGGTTCCGATATGTTCTCGGCATCCTATATGCGTCTCTATGTAGATTCAAAATCCTGCTGCCAGTGAGCGATGAAAACATAGATATCGAAGATGATTCTTGATCTATATGGGGATGCTATCTCCCTCTTGTGTGAGATCGTGGGTCAAGATTCAAAATTCCAAGACCCAAGATCTAAAATTCCACAGCACCATACTTAAACAAAACCAACTTTGTTTTGTTTTTTGGTTTTTTTATTGTATTCTGCCCACGGTATTTGTAAAATAATGGGTGGATTTTACACTTGAGCATGAAATTCTCATCTCAATGAAAGCACCATTTGATAGACCAAAACCCCCCGGGTGTGTATTTTTTGGTCTATACGATATATGTATAAAATATAGAAAATATATGAACACGAATATAGACAATAGACTTTTACGTGGAAACCAAATCGGTGAAAACCACGAGCCTTTTTTGGCGGTACCATGCCAATGGGGATGTTTTATTATATATCGGGGGCATATTTGTACAGCATATTGGCGTGATAGCCATTGATGGAGCTCGAAGCTCCATCGAGAAGAAGATGATGAACGGAGAGAATACAATATATGCGGAATGTAGAGGGTGGCTCTCCCCTTCTTCTTGGTTATGTGTCTCTTATATAGCATCAAGGTAGGAGCCTAGGGTTAGGGTTCCCTAGCGGGCTCCTTGCGTGGACCCGCCCAATATCTTTAATTAGGCCCAAGGGATATTATCCCATCACAAGCCCCCCAGTTTCTTAGTGAACAGGAAGTGTTGACTGAGAAACTATAATTTGTTGTCGTATGTGAATTTCTTTAATCGACACTTTCTTGTACCCGAATCACTTGAAGCTTCTAGTGGCGTAGGCACAAATCCTGACTCCTTAAGCTTCTCTTCTTTTAGTACCTAAAAAAGTTAGAAACATACTTGCCTCGTCGAGCGACTACGAAGTCCATGAGATGGCTTCGTTGTGTTTCGAGGAGAGGACTTTTAAGAACCTCAAAGAATGAGGGATTTGATCGCCTCGCGAGGTGGTTTAAGGGCCGACCTTGGGGGAGGACTTTATTGAAGCCTCGCGAGGTGGTTTTTGGACCGACCTTGGGAGAGGGCTTTTGGGCCTCGTAGGACGAGGATTTAATTGGAGCCTCGCGTGGTGGTTTAGGGCCGACCTCGGGGGAGGACTATGACG